GGGAAGGATCCACATTAGTGGGAACACCTAGAGAGTACTGGGAAGGATCCACATTAGTGGGAACACCTAGAGAGTACTGGGAAGGACCCACATTATTAGGTACACCTAGCGAGTACCGGGAAGGACCCACATTATTAGGCACTCCTTGCGAGTACCAGATAGGACTGACTCAATTATGTACACCTAGCTAATTGGTACAGTACATGGTGGTAATTTCTAAGATGCTGGACCCACCACATATGGTATCAACAGTGAGACCTTGTCTATATTCTATATATTTTTGAATTGCAGCCATATGATTGACTGTTTGAAGGAGTTTGCTGTTTGCATTAGCAAGCAGGTATACCTGCGACACTGCCCACCGAGAGTTTTTTCTCAGATTATAGATGGTTTAGTTATACGTTAGCAGTTACTAATCAGGGAAGAATTGAGTTAAGCTGCTGGGGAAGTGATCACATCTTCAGGGACTGACATCATGTCCATCTGCCTTCACTTACCAGTCCCACCGACGGCAACACAACAAGGACAAGCCTTTCAAGTGCCACAGCTGTCACCGTGCATACACGGACGCCACTAGCCTGGAGGTGCACCTGTCCACCCACACCGTCAAACACGCCAAGCTCTACTCCTGCGGCCTCTGCAACCGCTCCTACACCTCGGTACGCTGCCTCCCGTTTCCCTGACATCGGCTCTTCCTACGCTGCTCTCTGTTGCACTGCGGATGGCCCACACAGTAGGGCCTCCTCATCAATTTGTTTTTCTAAGGCTAGTGGAGGAAGATGCTCTGGGTAGCCATGCCCAGCTAAGTGATCTGCCCCACTACAGAACAGTATTAGCCCCAGAGGTTAAACGAATACTGTCCACTGCAGCAACATCCCAATTCTACTGTCCACCCAGAATATTTTTATCTTGGTATTTATGCTAAAGATTTCATGCATATATGTTTGCAAAAGCCTGTTTTTTTTTGTTGCATGTCCTGATTGTGGTTTGTGTGCAGCTTGTTCCTCTCCCTATATGTCGTTTTCACTTTGCAAAACCCTGACCCCCTCTTTCCTTTTCTGACAGGAGACTTACCTAATGAAGCACATGCGCAAACACAACCCAGACCCACTGACCGTCGCTGCAGCTGTAGCTGCACAACAGGCACAGCAGCCGCCCAATCAGAGCCAGGCTCCTGGGGGAGGCGGGCAGAGCCGGGGAGAGGGTGGGGCTGGTGTTGTAGGTGGGGCTGGCAGTGGGGGTGGAGCCAGTCAGGGGCAAAACCAAGGCAACCCTAACACTCCCCGAAGTTACCCCCAGGCCGAAGGGGTTCCGTGCCCATTTGACCTGCACCAGTACAAAACTGTGTCAGCCGGGGAGATCCAGTACAAACCAGTAAGCGTGGCTGATCTAGCTGTCCATAAAGACCTCTGTCTGACTGTGTCCACCTCTGCCATTCAGGTGGAGCACTTAAATTCATAAGCTTTGGTGAGCAGGATGAAGATGTACAGACCTCATGCTGACTGAAAGGAGAGGCTGAGGGGGTGTACCAGAACTGCTGGCGGGGGGTTATTCTCAATCCTCAAAGTGATGATGAGAGAGAGAGGTACTCGCATGTTTGTGGATGGAAAGGATGGCATCACGAGTACATAGATACATTTTTCTAGTTTCTCACCTTTCATTTTAAATTTGTCTTTTATTTCATTTTATATTGTCTGAGCGAGGCTGTAGGGGCTGGGGGGGACATTTTGCTATCATTTTATACTCCCTGTTCCTCCCTAAAACCTTGTTGACAAAGGCGATGACGTTGATTGTGATGATTATCAAAACAATATATGATTTCCATTGTCTGCCACTATTTGGGAGGCTTTTTATATAGGCTTTCAGTCAAATAGTTACAGTAGTTATTGTTATGTCATTATTGTTTTTATTACTGGTTGGAAATAACTGTAATCTTTATTGTAAAATATTTAGAAAAAAGAAACCTTTTTCAAAAAGGGAAGAATGATGTTTTCACTTCTTAAAAAATATTAAAAAGTATTTAAAAAGGTAATTCATACTGAATCACTGACATGCAACACGACAGCAGCCAATCACCGAGCCTGTTCTGCCCGCCGGGGTGAGTGCTTGTTTGTCATTGGCTGGTTCTTGTTTTGTAATCCTGTAGCATTTCATTGTGTCTTTCCCAATAACATGGTTCTTATTAAACTTACTATTAATGGTATTACTATTGCTCCCACTACTATTAATACTGTTATTAAGTATGCATACATGATGCTCCATGTTGTATATATTGACACATCTGAGGCAAATATTTCTCCTTGCAGGACAATAAAAGTCACGCATAAAAAGATCAGTGACTCAGTTTTTCTATTCCTCTAATGCTGATAAAAAAATTAATAAAACTTGTCAGTGGCATGGTATTGTCTGTGAATTATATTTAATATAATTGTTACAAGCTAACATCCAAAAGACATCTCATGCTATGAATTACTTCAGGAATATTATTATCGTTAATATTGTCCTGGTTGTTTTTGTTGGTAATTTGGAGGGGCATGTCATGCAGAACTATGCACAATCACAAGAGGCCTTGAGAGAAACCCATCTATGCATCTTCTGAACCCACTTGTCCTGTAGAAGGTAATGGGGGTCCAGAGCCTATTCCAGGAACAACATGCCACAGCGGGGAATGACCCTGGAAAGGGGCACCAACCTGTCACAGCCCACCAAATGTAATAATGTAAAAGTAAATATTAGTAAATACATCAACTGTGTGCCGTTCAGTTGCAACAAATAATTGAATAATGCAGCACCAGATGTCTTAATCATGCCCTGTCTATGCGAGCTATCTGAGACTTGTTACTATATGTACAGTGTAAGCTGTAGCTCTAGCATCATAATGTAGCCCTGAGGAGGTGACACTAAGACGGCACTTGTTGCTGGTGTCGGAGCACAGCCCAGAAACGAGCGTTTACCCCCTTACCTTCAAGACCAAAGAGCAAACCTGCAGCATGACGTCTGCCTCTTGAGCTTGTTAGCAAAGCTGTCCGCAAACCTATTAACCTGCTTCTGTCACAGTTTGTTAGGATTAGAGAGTGGGAGGGGTGACAGGATCAGTCCAGAGGCAGCCTGCAAACCCGGAAACAAGACTAAGTACAGCATTACATAATGCCGTCCTTCCACAAGAGGGAAGTAGGCAGGATTTTCTGAGTGTCAAGCCGGGTAGGTTTATTTGTCAGCTCAGCCATATATGCAGTACACCGCAAAACGAAACATCGTTCCTCCAGGACCAAGGGGCACAAAAAACAAGAGGACAGAAACAACACAGGACAACACAAGTGCAATTTACAGGACAAGACGACAGTGCAGTTGACAGTAGTAAGCGTGCTGGTTTGGATGGATTTTTGAGTAAATAGTATTATTACAGATATAGTATTATAACATAAACTGTATTCTAGCAGCAGGACAGAAATAAATAGTAAATAAATAAAAGTGCAAACAACAGTAGCAGCAGCACAGTGTACAGTGTATAACAAATTGTTATGAAATACAGTGTGTGATTTAGTTCTGATTCAGAAGTCTGATGGCCTGAGGGAAGGCATCCTGGCAGTGAAGGCTTGTATGCTACAGAACCTTTTGCTATACGGAAGGAGGGAGAAAAGGTGTGGCAGGGGTGTGTGGGGTCGTCCACAGTGCGGGTGGCTTTGCGGATGCAGTGTGACGTGTAAATGTCTGCAACAGGGGAGTGGCCCTGATGATGTGACAGAGGGGAGAGAGGCCCCGATGAGGGGACAGAGGGGAGAGAGGCCCCGATGAGGGGACAGAGGGGAGAGAGACCCCGATGATGTGACAGAGGGGAGAGAGGCCCCGATGATGTGACAGAGGGGAGAGAGGCCCCGATGAGGGGACAGAGGGGAGAGAAGCCCCGATGAGGGGACAGAGGGGAGAGAGGCCCCGATGAGGGGACAGAGGGGAGAGAGGCCCCGATGATCGGTTCAGCTGTCTTCACTATCCTCTGTAGGGTCTTGTGGTCCAAAGCAGAGTGATTCCCGTACCAAGCCGTGATGCAGCTACACGGTACTCTCTATAGTCCCTCTGTAGAACGTGGTGAGGACTGGGGGGTGGGGGCGCTCTCCTCAGTCTCCGCAGGAAATAGAGATACTGCTGGGCTTTCTTGGCGATGGAGCTGGTTTTGAAGGTCCACGTCAGGTTCTCCACAATGTGAAAACCAAGGAGCAAGGTGGTCTGGACGATCGCCACTGGTGATCCATTGATGTTCAGTGGGGAGTGGTTACAGCGTGCCCTCCTGAAGTCAACAACCATCTCCTTCATCTTGTTCACATTCAGGTTGTTGTTTCCACAACTTGACTGGTGTGGAAACACCAGTCAAGTCTCCATTACAGTAAAGCGCTGCACCATCACCAGGCCTGTCCGTCACAATAAAGCACTGCACCCTTAGTGGGCCTCTCCATTCCAGTAAAGCACTGCCCCTTCACCAAGCCTCTCCATTATAACAAAGCACTGCACCATCAACATGCCTGTCCATTACAGTGAAGCACTGANGCCTCTCCATTATAACAAAGCACTGCACCATCAACATGCCTGTCCATTACAGTGAAGCACTGAACCCATAGTGGACCTTTCCATTCCAGTAAAGCGCTGCCCCTTCACCAATCCTGTCCATTACAATAAAGCACTGCACCATCACCAGGCCTATTGATTACAGTAAACGGCTGCACCATCACTGGGCCTCACTGTTACAGTAAAGTACTGCATCATTGCCAGGCCTCTCCGTTACAATAAAACTGCTGGCAGCTCTTCTGTCAAGCTTTCACATGCCTGTTTTTCATCCACGGTCCTGCCCTTTGCATTTTTCACTTGTCCACCTCTTTTGACCTGACTTCCTTCATCAATCCATTTACCTGTCTCACTCACTCCCCCACTCTTCCTCTCTCTGTTTTGGGCTTATCTCTTCATCCCTGATCTCCCTTCATCCCCTTCAATCCCCATCGGTTGCTCACAGGGAGAAGTAAGAGCAAAGGGAAGTAAGATAGGTGACCTCCAGCAGGTGCCGGGAGAAACAGGCTGAGAGGAAGCTGTGCAGGGAGCAAAGAAGCTTTGGTCTCCCAGGAAGACAGAGGAGCGAGCAGAGAGAGCCCCAGCTGCGGTAAAGAAGGACAGCACACTGTTGTGAGAAAAGGTCAGTAACTCAGTGTTGGCTACTCTTACATTCCGATACTGCAGTGCTACTCGGACCATACTGCACTGGGCTCAGAACAGACCGAGTCCATCCAGAGCACTGGCCTCGGACCAGACTGAGTCCGTGTTAGGAGAATATAGACTGAGTCAAACCTCATATCTGAAGCTACTAATTATTCAACATTGCCTTCTGAAGCACCTAGATTTTAATGATCTGGATAGCATGGATTTAAAGTAATGCTTTTAATTGGCCTTAATGGTGTTTTATGTTTGCCACATTGCCATATTACATTTTTCTACCATTGTCATCATTAATGTGAGACAGTTTGGCTTGTTAGGTGAACTGATTTTTAGCTTAAATCTTTTATCTCAGTTTTAGTTTAAGCCAAAATCATAGTGAACTAATCCAGGTGGTGTTTTGTAGATAAAAATGCCGCTAGTAACAACCAGGAAACATACACTAGCATTACACTCAGAGAATAACCGCCTATTTAACCATCCATCCATCCATCCATCATGTTCTATTACTACTTATGAATCATGAATTACTCGTACACCATGGGCCATTTAGCGCGCTGATGTTCCTAAACATGAGGCTTTGCACAGTGGAAGGAAACCAGTGCAAAATCCATAGTGCTAGAGGAGTGACAGTCACCATGGTGATGGGAATCACTAAACAGAATGTAACTGACAACAATATATATCATAAAGCTTTTGTTGTAGAGCAGGGGTGTCAAACTCCAGTCCTGGAGGTCCGGAGCCCTGTGAAGTTTAGTTCTTTCCCTGTTCCACCACAAATGATTCAGCTCAAGAGCTGTGCTGTAATTAGCACAAGGAGTTGAATCAGGTGTGTTAAATGAGGGGAAACTAAAAACTGTGCAGGGCTCCAGCCCCCCAGGACTGCAGTTTGACACCCCTGTTGTAGAGTCATAATATAACAAACTGTTTTATGACATCAAAATTCATATTTTGTCCCTGTTCCCATTGTTCAGTAGTTACAGAATAGTAATATAATTGAGTTAAAATGAGAATATTTTTTATAATAGTTACAAAGAAAATTAATCCTCTTCACCCCCATACTCCTCCATACACCCCCATACTCCCCCATACACCCCTATACACTCACATACTCCCCCATACTCCTCCATACTCCCCCATACTTCCCCATACACCCCCATACTCTCCCATATTCCCCTATACTCCCCCACCCTCACTGATCCAGTAATAAGAAGCATTCAGTAATTCAATTACAGGAATCTGAGGTTTATGAGCTTGCTCCTAAAGTCTCCCTAGTCTGTCTTCCAATCCTCGATCACTGCTTTCGTCACAGGATCTCCGGGTGTGATCAGGAAGCTGCCAGACCATAAAATCCCCAAATGGGATTAAGCCTGTTACCCCTCCCAGGTTGACCTCCCGGTCTGTCAGTAGGACAGAAGATCCTCAACTCTGCAGCCGTCTGTGTATAGGCAATGCTTTGGTGTAATTTATAGACACACATAGCTTGACTTGTGTCAGATAACCTGAGCTTGGGTGTGAACTCTGCAGGTGTCTGTGGATGCTGTGTGCGTGGGCTCTGTATGAGTGTATGGGCTGCGAATTTCTGTGGATACCGTAGATGCATGTGAAAGTCCTGTGCCCTATGGAAGCGCAGTGAATGAACCGCGTAAATGTGTGAGGACTCTTACAGGACCTTTTCTCAGAGAAACCACCAGTGGGCAGAAGCTTCCTTACCTAACCTTCCTTCTGTTGCTCCAGGCTGACAGCCCTTAGCGACCAGTGTCATGGCGGAGATGGAGCAGATGCGCAAGGAGGCTGAGAGCCTGAAAGAGCAGATCGCGGTACGTCCCGCAAGGCACACAGTAATCGCAGAAGGTCACGCTAACATGACCTGCAGTGTTTTTGGGACCCCATCCTGGCTGTACTCTCTTTCTGAATCATTCGTAATGCCATTTATCGTTCTGCTGACATGCTGGTGAATCACACAGCTCTGTAAGCAAACATCCGTCAAAGCTGGACGAGTGTCCGTTATGTGGATACATCAGTGGTGTAGTTGTATGCGTGACGGCATTATGTCTGAGAGCAGCTGCACATCTTACAGCTGACCGCAGAGCTGTGAACCCGCTGTAGGGGAAAGAAAATCTTCATTGACTTAGAAAACTACCAAACAAATTAGATTGATGTTCAGCATTGGTTCATGGCCAAGTATAAAGGGAATTGACCTTTCATTCTTACACAAATAATGAATGTACTAAGCCATGAATACCATATTGAATCTCTAGGCCATGTTACCTACATTTTTTAAGATCACAACATGATGACAACATGCAAGCTTTCTGACACCAGTTCCCAGTCTAGCCTACCAGTGAAATCCCATCACCGAGGTGTACTTCTTACAGGCAGCTCGCAAAGCAGTCCAGGACACAACCCTGCAGGCCGTGGTGGAAGGGACAGCCACAGTCAGCCGAGTCCAGCCAAAGACCAGGAAGACTCTGAAAGGTCACCTGGCAAAAATCTACGCCATGCACTGGTCCTCAGACTCCAGGTAAATAAAGGACATGCAAAACTGTCCAGACAACTACCCTCCCAACAAGCCTGAAGTGCACTGTTCTGTGGCCCAGTGTGAATGTCAGAAATGCCAGTGGAGGAGATTTGATTTCAATTCAATCACATAGTTGAGTATCACAGGTGCAGGGCCATCAGAAGCCTCTCTATCAGACATGTTGTTCATATTGAAGCTATAGTGCTCACACATATCATTTTAATACGTCTACAGTGTCCACTCGTGTCTAATGTCCCCAAACAGCTACGGTCAGTCACAACCTAAATCATACACATATGGATAGTGTCCACACACAGCTATCGCTATACGTGTTTTTAAATGATTTTTCTATGCCACTGATAAAACCCTTTCTCATCCTCAGGTTATTGATCAGTGCATCACAGGATGGCAAGCTCCTTGTCTGGGATGGCTACACCACTAACAAGGTAAAGCGAGTGATAGTATGATCATACTTCTTCCCCTTTAATAATACTAGTTATTACATCCCATCGACACTCCCATCCAAAAAGTCCTCACTTCCTCCCTTCATGTGTATGCCATCCTTATCAAGTCTCCCTGGGTGATTCACTTCCTCCCTTCAGGTGTATGCCATCCTTATCAAGTATCCCTGGGTGATTCATTTCCTCCCTTCAGGTGTATGCCATCCATATCAAGTCTTTCCTGGGTGATTCACTTCCTACCTTCAGGTGTCTGCAATCCTTATCAAGTCTCCCGGGGTGATTCATTTCCTCCCTTCATGTGTGTGAGATCCTTATCACGTCTCCCTGGGTGATTCACTTCCTCCCTTCATGTGTATGCCATCCTTATCAAGTCTTTCCTGGGTGATTCACTTCTTCCCTTCAGGTGTCTGCAATCATTATCAAGTCTCCCTGGGTGATTCACTTCCTCCCTTCAGGTGTCTGCAATCCTTATCAAGTCTCCCTGGGTGATACATTTCCTCCCTTCATGTGTGTGAGATCCT